ATCACAGCAACTATTTTTTGGCGCGTAATTTAAATACGATAATTTGAGATGTGGTGTTGGAGAAGGATGGAGAAGATTAGCTGGACTGAGAAGAGGACAAATGAAGAGGTTCTTAGGAGAGTAAACGAAAAAAGGAGCTTGTTAAGAACCATAGAGAACAGACGTGGGAAGATGATAGGACACCTGATACGACACGACCATTTCCTGAAAAACATCGTGGAAGGAAAAGTAGAAGGCAGGAGAAGACGAGGCCGACCAAGGCGAAATTATTTCGAACAAATAAAAGAAAAGGTTCGTGTCGTGTCGTGTCGTATCAGCAGGTCAAATCACTGGCGGAACGAAGACAAGAATGGCAGTTACTCCACCGACAAGAGCCAAGCTCTTAAATTTAAGAAGAAGAGAAAGAAGAATTTAAATTCATCGAAGTGTGTGTTTCTAGGACAAACAGGGTGCACTTTTTTCGTTATGTTTTTTTTTAGTTAAATGCAATTTTCTCGAAAACTAGCGTGTAGATTTCTTTAAAAATTTGCCTAGTACATGCTTATATTTTATTTGATCTGCCCCTAAAATATTTGCAGTGAATTTAATAGGACCTTATATTAGTGTAGATGTAGATTAGTATAGATGTAGATTTAATCTTATAGTATCAGGTATAGGGTATAGGGTGATATGGGACTCATCTTGGAAGTCCATATAATATTATATTTATTTGTTAGCCGATACCTCGAGATATTAAGTAGGTATAATATGGTATACCTAGTGGGCTCGTTAGGCTCTAGCTCTGCACATAAGACGTGAGAAATGAGTCGTACATCGCGACGCTCGAATCCGTTTCCATATAAAATGTAGGAAACAGAAGAGTCGAAGCTACACACGTGAGACGAGCCTCGCATTGATGAGTTGATGACGGCTGACGATCAATTGTCTGACTGATGTCATCTTACGCCTCACGTCTACTCTATCGAGCTTGCACCCTAAGATTAAATATTCACCGCGTGCGCGTGTGTGTGACACTCTTTACTTTGTACCCACATACCGACACAAACTACACTTAATTAATATAACTGCAGTCGTATCCGTTCTAAAAGTAGCAGTTTATTGATTTGTGTTGCCACTCGCGAGCATTCACGAGGCATAGTTAAGTCGTACTTCTATATGTGACAAGGTAAGGGCCGGCGGACACCTAGAGCTGTTTGGCGAGAATCGTTTTCAGTAGCATATTACAGTCACACATTGCCGTGTGATGCCGGCTTCGAATAGCATCACCCCATATCTTTCCCGTGGGTGACGTAAGAAGCGATTAAGATTCGATATGTATAACAATTTTAGGCGACAGGCTGACAATATTTCACTATGGTGATACACAGTCTTCTGAATGACTGATACTTTTGTCAAACGTGGTGTAAATGGCTATTTTTTTGCGTGATATACGGGGTGTTAGGGACGGTGTAAAGAAAACTTTGCAGGCGTGCTCAGACCATCAAACTGAACAACTTTTACTATGGATAGAGCCAATGGTGGGAAACCTAAAAAAAATTTCGACCTCCCATACAAAATTCACGATCAGCTGACTGACTTTGTATGGGAGGTCGGAAAAATTATTTCGTTTCCCACCATTGGCTCCATAGGTCAGTTTGATGGTCTGGTCATGCCTGCAAAGTTTTTGTTACACCGTCCCTAACACCCTGTATGTATTTATGTATTACAGTCACTCCACTTCAAATATGGCTAACTTACGTGACCTAGGTTTAAACAACTGAATAGCAAATATCACTAGCAAACTGAATTAATACGTCGTTGATACCAAAGGTCGACACATACCTAGAAGTATTGTGTGCGAGCCGTTATCACATGCAAACTGAACGAATGCATCGTTGATACTAAGGGTCGGCGCACACCTAGAGCTGTTTGGCACAGCCATGATCACTTGCAAACTGAACTAATGCGTCGTTGATATTAAGGGTCGGCGCACACCTAGAGCTGTTTGGCACAGCCATGATCACTTGCAAACTGAAGTAATGCGTCGTTGATACTAAGGGTCGATACACACTTAGACCAGTATGGCATGAGCCATGATCACTTGCAAACTGAACGAATGCGTCGTTGATACTAAGGGTCGATACACACTTAGACCAGTATGGCATGAGTGAGCCATGATCACTTGCAAACTGAACTAATGCGTCGTTGATACTAAGGGTCGATACACACTTAGACCAGTATGGCATGAGCCATGATCACTTGCAAACTGAACTAATGCGTCGTTGATACTAAGGGTCGATACACACTTAGACCAGTATGGCATGAGTGAGCCATGATCACTTGCAAACTGAACTAATGCGTCGTTGATACTAAGGGTCGGCGCACACCTAGAGCTGTATGGCACGAGTCATGATCACTTGCAAATTGAAATAATGCGTCTTTGATACTAAGGGTCGGAGCACACCTAGAGCTGTTTGGCACGAGCCATGATCATTTGCAAATTGAACTAATGACTAATGCATCGTTGATACTAAGGGTCGGTGCACACCTAGAGCTGTTTGACACAAGCCATGTTCACTTGTAAACTAAACATTTGCGTTGTTTATTCTAAGGGTCGGCGCATACCTAGAGCGGTTCGGCACGAGCCATGATCACTTGCAAATTAAACTAATGCGTCGTTAACACTAAGGGTCGGTGCACACCCAGAGCTGTTTGGCACGAGTCATGATCACTTGCAAATTGAACGAATGCGTCATTGATACTGTGGGTCGGTGCAAACCTAAAGCCTTTTGGCAAGAGCAATGACCACTTGAAAACTGAACTAATGGCTAATGCATCGTTGGTAAGGGTCGACACACACCTAGAACCTTTGTGCGCAAGCCGTTATCACTTGCAAACTGAACTAATGCGTCATCGCAAACTGAACAACTGAATAATTGAATAACTGTTGAGTTAAGACTAAGGCGCATGTTGACGTCTCACGTGTGTAGCTTAGTCAATACTTTTTATTTTTTTTATGATAACGGTTTCAAGCGCCGCGATGTCGCACGTCTCACGTCTACTCTGTGTAGGTTGCGCCTAAGGGCTGTCACTGGCGCATCGCTTAACTAACCTTTTGCAGTTTCCTAGCCAAATAGGCGTTGTTCAAAGAAAACAAGGATATCTTACTTCATATTGTTTTTTTTTTACCTTACTTTGTTGCGTGTGTTTCGCATCGCAATACATTACAATTACAATTATAGCCATCACAGTCCTTTGCTAGCTGCTACACAAAGGCCTTCCCTTCCCCAGTGCGGAATAAAAGTGTATCATCCCTACTTAACACGCTTAGCAAGCGAGTTAGCGAGCGCAGTGCAAGGTGTTTTTATCCGACTGCCTCAGGAGGGTAATGTTTTATAAGAGTATGTATGTATGTCAACACGAAATGTGTTTTCACGGGCTACAGCCCAAACGACTGGGCGGATTTTGACATGTGAGGTGTCGTTAGATTCGTTTCAGCAGCGCAAGTGACACAGGCTATACTAAAAATTCATAAATTCAAGATAGCAGATTTTTATCGCGAAATACAACTTCGAAATAACCGCAGTCGGGTGTTTGTTTTTTAATACAGCTTGTTCGTTATTTGCATTGTAGCCATTGTTGTAGTCATTTCTACCTAGATCAATAATAAAAGGTTAATGAGCGAGCAACCTCTTTAGTCGAGAATGCCAGACGCATGCTGGCAAGAACCGAGGCCGCGCTATACACATGTACCTACCTATATACTTACTATGCTAATGTTATTTTGTCCTCGGCCCACATACGATGATAGCGAGACGAATGATAATGCTTACTGCCATCCGTAGGTATCTACTTAAAAATAAATATATGAAACTACACAGAAAAAACAATTTAGAACATACATAAAAGCCTAGAAAATATACCTACTGATATTACATTTTATGGCGTAGCGTTTCGTAGCAGATTAGAAATCCTTATAACAAAACAAAACAAATAAAAAACACGCATACCTACTTCTTGATTTAGTAGAGGAGCCATATTGCCAATTTTATCAAAATGTATAGGTAGGATCCTAACTCGGAAACAAAGAATACAGAAGTATAATATAGCTGTCTGCTACGAACTCTGTCGTAGACGATGCTGTAGCAATTTGCTACAGATGCAGTCTGAATAGTAATTTTTCAGAATCTAGCGATTTATTTTGGGAAACATATTTTGTATTTATATAATAGGACGTGGATAGAACAAGATTCTGTCTAAAATTATAATAAGTAAACGTATTGCCAATGCGTTTTGCCCAGACGCGAGGAATAAAGCATTAGGAAAGATATTAAGATGGAGATGGATGATATTAAAAAAGCACTAGGGTTTTATCATCAGACAGTATATGACACATTTATTCCGTAAAAAATTGCAAAATCTGGCCAACGTAGAGTGCTTTTATTGGCGGTGGGAGTACGTATATGCATTTAAAAATGGATCCTTTTCCTACTTATTTCTAAGTCGATCGAAAAATACCCCGCTAAGTTATGGCTTGTCGAAGCATTATAAATAACGGTAAAAAATGCCTTTTTATATGAGTGCTGTGTGTTTAATCGGGTTATTGCGTGCTGGCGTATGTGGCCAATTATAACTTTGATGGTGTAAATAATCGGCCTCAGCTTAGCCTTTTGTGCTCTCTGTTTGTAGGTATTGCGCTCGAATGCTACGCAAAGGTTCCGTGTTCTGATCCCGGTGGCGGTATGATGAATTTTATATAAAGTCCTATTGAAATCACTGCTAATATTTTCGGGAATGTTCTACTTGTGAAACTACCTTTAACTTTTCTTAACTTATGTATTGGATTTTTTAATGCACTCACAGCGCAATATTATTCTCATAAATTGAAAATGAGAAAATTGAAGAATTCACTAGCGACCGCCGGGACCGTAGTTAAGTTCTTAATACTTTCTACAGATGTCGCTGGATCGTCGATTCGAGACGAGCATCATGAGGTTGAAAAATTCACCAGGGTCCGCTAGGCGCTCGTTGCTCAGTCGGTAGAGCGGTGGATCGGTGATCCACAGTCCCGGGTTCAAGTCCCGGCGGTCGCTAGTGAATTTTTCAATTTTCTAATTTTCAATTTATTTCGAAATATGAAAAAAAAATTTGGCCCTCTCACACAATGTGACACATGTGTTAAACATTTTTGTATGGGAGGTTTCTTTTTTATATTTGCAAAAAAATTACAAAGAAAGTTCTGTTTCACGAGTAGAACACACCCTGAAAATATTTGCACTTTAATACAATACATACATTTGTCACTCCTATATCACTTGCGGGGTAGTCAGAGCGTAAACGGCTGTAAAATAACGGCTATTTACACCACATCTGACAAAAGTTAGAGTTATTCAGAAGACTGTGTAACACCATAGTAACAGGTAGGTACAGCCATGCCGCCTGAATTGCAATATACATGAATTCTCAAATTCCTTAGCCGCTTCTTACGGCACTTACGTGAAAGATATGGGGTGATGCTATTCTAATCCGGCATCACACGGATATTTGATACCTTTAATTCTTTGATGATTCTGTGTATGTCTAGCTAGGGAAATAAAATCAAAAGGATACTGCATTAAATGTATGACATCCGATACGCGGACCCAAATTAAACTTGCCCGGTTTTGTTTCACTTCGGGCTCAGTTAGCTCGGTCGGCGTGACGAAGGTAAATGCAAGTAGGTATTCTCGGCAGGTGCCTCGTTCAATTCCCTAGGCGACGCTAAGTTACACTAGCTCTAGTTGGCACGCTCGCTGTGAGGTGAGATGAAAACTTTGCTTCGCTCAGTCGGGTAAGGCAGTTAGTTTCCTCACTTGGCGCATTCATAGCGCAGTGCTAACGTACGAATCAGTATTTTCTCGAATTCCCCAAACGAAAACCGACTTTGACGCAGGAGCAATGCAAATCCTTGCGTTGGCATCTGTCTCTGTTACAGTCAGTATATGGGATGCAATATACAAACGGATGCCAGATGTGAGACCCGCATCTGTCTCTGTTACAGTCAGTACATCGGATGCAATATACAAATGGATGCCAGATGTGAGACCCGCCTAAATGTCCCTTCTAGCAAAGTGCTCCAGAACTAATTAAAAAGAGCATTTCCACACCGCAATAGGTGAGTACAGCAACAAAGGTAGTTATACAGCTGCAAAAGGTGCAACTTTTTAAATAGAGACTGGAATTGCACTAGTTACAGTGTTAGAGTCGACAGTTTATAGGGTTCTTGTTATTACGTTTACAAAGGAAATAATAATTATCTCTTTTTACCATTTATAACATTTTCTACTTTAAAAATAAGCAAAGTGAATTAGAATCCAAAAATAAAGTTCGCTGTACACTATAGGTAATACTGAAGTAAGGATTTTAACCGCGATTTTAATTTTTTGCTTTGGGACCTTTCGCTTCGTTTAACATTCTACGCTTAAACGAAAAAGCTGTAATCATATTTTTTGGAAAGTTTACGTGCGCTGGACGGACCTTAATACCGAAAAATGATTGAAAAGCATGCTTTAATTACGTGAAACCACGTGAAGATGCATTTTTTACACTGTCCTATGAAACCACTGTATAAAACACATTGTTAGTCTAATGTTAGGTTTTACAAAAACAAACAAATTACCGAGGCAATTTCATTTGTAATCTAGTGGAAATATGCACTAACAGTTAGTATGCTGGTACAGAGCTATTTCGAGAATTAATTTTTAAGCCCGTCGCTCGCGTGACTCAGGTCACCTAGACCGATTTGAAAGTATGTTGTTTGTAAAACCCATACATACCTTTACAGAGGTATTTTTTAGTATTTAGCGCCGTCGTGTTGTTTAGAATAGTATCACCCTATATGTTTCCCATGGGTGTCGTAAGAAGCATCTAAGGAATTAGAGAGTTGATGTGTATTGCAATTTTAGGCGACAGGCTGGTTAGCACTCGTGATAAGTATGATGTTCTCATACAATATTGATCACTGACTTAGATAAATGTTGTTCATTTGGAATGAACTTTGGTTGTATTATTGCTTAATTTTAGGAATGTAGGTTGGTAATACCTAAATTGAATTAAAATGCTATAAAAGGCTTTCAATCATCTGAAAGAAAGTAAATGTCGTAAAGTACAGTACCAAAACCTAAGCTGGGTAAATAAATCAATCACCATTTCTCCACACCGTAATCTAATAGGAAAGGATGAAGGAAGGTAATTTGTTTATTTAAAGGTTATTTATTTTTATACATACATGCTTGATTTTTTTACATCCTGTATTTAAATCTAGTTACATTACATATTTACCATTCAGATGAGAAAGGTCACGGCCTAAATGGCCAGATAGGTACTCCCGGATATTGTAGCCGTAAATATAAGTGTTGATAGCTTATGTTTTGGCCAGGGAGCCGTTTGTAACTGGATTACAGCACTTTGTTGGTGCCAAAAGTGAAATCGCCAAAATATCTCGGATTGCTGCCAAATGTGTAAATAGTTCGATCGATACTGACCTCATTTTATACAATTCTTTATACTTATTGCAAGTAACAATGGCTAACGCCTATAAAACAAGGCAAGCAATGCTTTAAAAAAGTACTTATTTACACCTGATTTGTGCCTGGCCTCTAGTTTACACTTGATTTATACAAAATGGTCAAACCAAAATTAAAATTATTTACACGTTACACACATCCCTCGATAAAAAAATTACACACGAGTAATATACGGGGTGTAAGGGACAGTTTTCCGAATACTGATAGAATGCGTTCAGACCATGAAACTGAACAATTTTTCATAACAGATTATTACAGGTGACGTAAAAAATAATAATTATATGTCTGCTGAAATATTTTCTTATGGGAAGTGGTTCAGTTTCATGGTCTGAATTCACCCTTTTAGTATTCGGAGAGCTGTCCGTTTTACCCTGAATAGCCAAATTCCTATAATTTACTATTACTTGGAACAAAACACACGACTGTATGTGAGATCTTATTTAGACTACTAGGTATAACTTTGGATTTAGGGGTTTAGCTAGAAACCTCAAGATATTACAGATTTTCAGCAATGTATGTAGATACTACTAGTAGGTAGGTAAATGTGTTTTTCGAAGACAGGCAAATCGATAGTAACTTGGCAGAGTTTCCAGGCGCTGCTGTGGTACCTAAATGAGTTGAACATAAAATACTAGTAGTACTGAATCGTAAAACGTGCCTTGCTAGAGGCCTGTGAGGAAGTTTTTGAGAGTTTTGCTAAATAAGCCTTTAATTTTACGGAGCTTCGTTGTGGCGTAATTTGAAAACTGTTACCTAGAAATCTAAATTATGTATTTCTTTGCAATTTCGCGTAATCTGTAGAATTGAAACCTGTTTAGGTACTTAGTATGAGTTCAGGAGGGAGACCAAAGGTAGACCCACGTTAGTACTATACTACATACTATTGCCTATTCTGGGCCTTGGGCGTCAGAGACGGCTACATATCGATGCCTACGTCTACCAATGACGCTGTGACTTCAGTTCTGATTTGTTCCAGAACCAGCACCATGATTGACCCCAGCTCCTCGGAAGAGGACACTGATGACGAGCACAAGAAGCATCGTCCGGCGCCATCCGCCAAGCTGCCAGGTCTGTATACTACACAACAGCTATACCCGGGCCAGTCTAATAGGCTCGATTTGACAATGAAACAGCAAGGTGATGTGAACCGGCCTATGCTATGGCTAGAGATCTGCCAATCGGGCGTGATACTTTTTCGAAAATGCTATTAAGACCCTTAGAAGCTCAGTGATCATTTACAGTTGGTACTGTAGATTGATTCATGTAGACTTTTTAAGGCCATTATAAAACCTTTATAGATCTTAGATTTGGTAGAGGAGTAAGATAAACTGTAGCGTCCTCTGGAAACTATAGGTAGCTGTTATTGGTCATGATCATGAACAATAATTTTGTAGTAAGTATGTAGATATGTACCTAAGTAGGTAAATTTAGTTTGTGGTTAGGTACCTACTTAAAAGTAAGGAGGTACTGTTTATGAATTTATGTTCAATATAGCTAGCATTCATTTAAATTATAAAGATATTTTTTTTGCTAGAAATGCAGTTACATTATCATTTCATTAGCATAATTAAGTACCTAGGTGGCAGTTCTTACTTAAATAATAACTTACACTAGATACCCAGTTAATTTAAGTTTAAACATTTGAAAACCCTTTAAAATTATCCTAAATTGGATAATTATTAATTAAGTTTCCATTTTCGTTTTCACAATCATACTTATGCAAAATTCTTGGCCTAATGCCATCGTAATTTTAAATTATTAGGGTGTATAATATCTACCTACCATATTTTGGATTAGTTAGCCCATTTTCTTCATCACATTTACATAATTTTATAATATAGTCATCAAAAAGTATTTGGAATACATAAGTAGGTAAAGTAACATAATTTGTAATTATCATTTGGATTAGATAGCAAAGTAGAACTATTGTCGACATAGGTAATTCTTTTAAAAGTAAAATTGAAGCAGCATCGTTTGAGTAAGATCATAATAATACTACATCGTATACAGTAGCTGAGCTAAGTATAGTAGGAGGCGGAGTAAGCTTGATTGTTCACATTTGTTTGCCGTGTGCTTTATCAGTAGCTAATGCTTGGTTCACAGTGGCGCCGCCAGGATCGCTGGCTGGCGGGCGGCCGTCGGTCAGGGGCAAGCCGGAGCTCCCTCGCGGCTCCACAGCGGGGCTACCAGGTAAACACATCAAAACACATCCGTACGACAACATACTACTGATCTGTGTTATTGATAACACGAATGAGGTGGTAAAACTGTACCATCGAGCCTCTGATAAATGATTGCCTCGCTACTCTCGGTAGATTGAATCGGCGTACTTGTAAAACTGACGCAATCAAACCTATACGTCATATCTTTATACATCTGACTGTTACTCAATTATTTTAAAAACGCACCTCGTACTGTCAAAATTCATAGTTTGAAGTTGGTTTGAAGTACACATTACAAATAGACGGATTATACAATTTTTGCCACGTGATAGCGATCGATCCACTCGTACCGAGCGCATCCAACAT